TGTGGAGGCCCTTATGGGGAATAACAAATGGCCATTAAAAAATATCTTTTAGCATTATCTAATAATATACAGAGTGAGTTGTGACTTTTCACGAAAAACTCTATTTATAATAACTTTCGAATGGTAAGTTCGATTTGTCTCATATTTTGGTCAAACGTTACACTACTACCACCTGATAAACTGATTTATTCAAAATTAAAAACATCAGGTTCGGTTTTAAAAAATCAGTTGGGGTTGTTCGTCGAAAAGATTTCAAACTGTAGGACGGCTTTTGAAAACTATAATAAGAATTTTACAAATTAGACAAATAGGTAATTAAAATGCCACATCTATTTTTTCCCACAAACTTATTAATTGAAATATGGGGGTGCGATGGTAAGGCAACCTTGCATGGGTGAAAGAAACTAGCTAAACCTACTATTAAAAAACAGCGATAAGAAACAACCCGAGAAGTACGGATTATCAGTTTGCTAAATAAATATAAACGAATTTTTTTTTTCATATGTTGGATCTATGTGTTGTAAACGCATGGATACTCTGGCGTAGAAAAAATGAACAAAATTGCTATATGCCATTATTTGACTTCAAACAAGCCGTTTCTGAACATTTATGTAAATTTTGGAAGTCACTACAAGAAAGAGAGGTCGTCCAGTAGGACAAAATGGGACTCCAACATTTAGTCATCAAGGAACTCCAACGTCTAGTCGTCAAGGAACTCCACCTGTCTTAACCAATGGAACAAACCCCAACACCAACAAAAAGAACAAGAAAAACTCTGCAAGACATACCGTTAAATTCTGTGCGTACGGACAACATTGGACATATGCCAGAATGGCAAAAATATCGCCGACAGTGTCAAATATGTACAAAAAAAAACTTTACACCAAATGTATAAAGTGTAAAGCATTTTTATGTTATAATGAAAAAAGGAATTGTCTATCACAATTTCATAACTAACGTATTTTTGTATGTTAACTTTTTATTAAAATATGTTCTTATAATGCATGTGAAACCACATATGGATTTTCAAAAAATCTACCAGTTTGTAGTTATTGCATATGAAACCATGTATGGGTTTGCAAAAAAACTTCTATATATAGGCCTAAACAGTTATTTTAAATGTACTAATGCCTTTTATATACCTTAATAAAAATCACAATACATAAAAATATTTTTTTATTTCATGTTTGCAATAATTCATGCAATAGAGGGTTAATAGCGTCGATATCTAACGTCACCTTCCAGCAAACGAAACCGTCAAAAACTAATTGCGACGTTGCCTATGTGTATGGAAAGTCGGATAAAACGGATAATTAATATAAAATAATAAATTAAAACTATTTAAAAGACAGGATTGGTTTCTCTGAACCGTTGAGGTGGAAATAACTCCCTCCGCAGTCCTACTGCTCGTGAAAGATGGAAACAGACAACGAAGGGAAAAATGATTATGAAAACAGGAAAGGAAGGGATTTTATATTTTCTTTTACGAAGAGTAAGAAAACAATACGATTCTTTTTTAGCCGAAAGAGAAAAGAAGAATCTGAGAGTGACGACGTAGGTGATGAACACTTACTATGAGGAAAGTATAATGAGCTAAAAGAAATGAGAAAAGAAAATAGAAAATACGAAGAAGAGATAATATAATTAAAAAGGTCAGAGCTGAAAATAGAGAAATTACAAAAATACAAAGAAACCTCTAAATAAGGTGGAAAAGTAGATTAGAAAGAATCTAAAAGGAATTGAAGCGAAAGAATATTATAGTAACTGGAATAAAGATGAAGAGAAAATAAAAGAAAATATGATACACATCATAAACATACAGCTGAAGGAATAAGTGAATAAAAAAAGAGAAATAAAACTAGGACAGAAAACTTGTTTGCTGCGAATAAAAGAACATGTAGAAAAAATAAAATTATGCAAAGAGTCGGTTAAAAAAGCTAAAGGGTGAAAAGGTATTCATAAATATGATCTAAAAACCAAAGAAGGAGAAATGAGAAAAGACATATCCGAAAAATGTAAAGAACTCAGGGAAAATGGTAAAACTGTAAAAGTACGTTTTAAAAAGATTATAGTAGACGGAGAGGAATGGAGATGGGAAAAGAAAGGCATTTTTAAAAATATTGGGATGAAAAAAAAAAAACGGGGAGTAGCGGAGAAGAAACAGAAATCGGAAAAACGGAGACAATTAGTGGTAAAAAACAAGGAATATGATAAAGGTAAAACTGAAGGGCTCAAATAAATTAAATCAGAGAACGAAAAACATAGAATCATCAAGCAAGAAAAAAAATTACTATACCATTCATTATGTCCAAAAGAGCATAAATGGTAAAGAAATGGAACTAGTAGAAGGATTTGAGACTGCAGAATTAAGTATACTAGCAATATCAGAGACCAAGAAAAAAGGACAAGTAATAAAAATGGAAAATAATCATACCTTAATATATAGCGGAGTATCAGGTGATAAAAGAGCAACTGCAAGTGTAGGTTATATAAAACATAAAAGACTGGAAAAACAGAAATACTTCTGAAAGCATGGTCAGAGAAAATATTAATAATAGAAATGAGTAATAATAAGTGTGAGTGTAATAAAACTATTGTAGTAGTATATGGACCAAACGAAGATGATAGCGAACAAAGTAAAGATAATTTTTGGGAAGAATTATCGTTTGCAACAGAAGCCGCAAAATGAGAAATATACATTCCAGGGAATTTCAAATTTAACACTAGGATAGGAATAAAAGACGAAATATACACTAGACATATACGGCCATATGAGGAGCTTTTTTACAAAACTGCATAAATCCACTTTTCAAAAATTTTCAGGAGACGTAAAAACATGCTGCAGCTGTTATACTAAAATTTTCGAAATTTCGGAGAACGTAATCAATTGAGGTTAGATTTAGAGAAATAAAACGTTAATTAATATTATTAATACTTGGAGACGAATATCGATGGATTCATATATAGTTTTGTCTCCTGAATCAAAATATGAAAACGGCATTTTGATATCTCGAACCATCTTCGAGATAACCGGCATCAAAGTCATAAATAGTGACGTCACAATTCTTCTAAATATACATTAGTTTCTGCTGACACAAATAAATGTTAAATCGAAACGTCGACTAAATAAATTTTATTTATTAATGTTAATGTAATGTTAAATGTATAAGTCTATCTACCCAATAATATGAAAGTATTTTTCCTAACTTTTACACAAGAAGAGGTCTTTTTTATATAATTAATGATAATATTATTACTTATTTCCAAATATTGGTCTTAAAGAGTAAAATGTATAAAAACAACTTTCTATTTTTTGCATTTTGATTAATGCCACAATTAACTAATGATGATTGAATGATAGTTTACAAAAACTAATATTTAAGTATACCTCCTTGGAAGATTAATCATTGATTGTGTGTTCTTGTATGTGATTTCAAAGCACCCTTTACAGAAAACGACTTCAAACAAATTTCACATTGATAAGGTTTTTCCCTAGTGTGTGATCTCATATGTGTTTTCACATAATCTGATCGGGAAAACGACTTTAAACAAATTTCACATTCATAAGGTTTTTCCCCAGTATGAGCTGTCATATGGTTTTTCATATCGCGTGATTTAGAAAATGACTTAGAACAAATATTACACTGATATGGTTTTTCTCCAGTGTGCAATCTAGCATGTGATTTCAAAGATCCCTTTGCAGAAAACGATTTCAAACAAATTTCACACTGATACGGTTTCTCACCAGTGTGCACTCGTATATGTTCATTTAACCTATGTAATTGGGAAAATGATTTAAAACAAATTTCACATTGATAAGGTTTCTCGCCAGTGTGCACTTTCATATGTTCATTTAAATTATGTAATTTAGAAAATGATTTAAAACAAATTTCACATTGATGTTCATGAGTTTTTTCTCTAGTGTGTAATTTCCTATGCCCTCTCATAGAACCTAATTGAGAAAACGACTTAAAACAAATATCACACTGATAAGTTTTTTTTTCAGTGTGCGACCTCTTATGAACTTGCAAAGAACTATTATGAGAAAACGACTTAAAACAAATATCACAAGGAAAGGGTTTGATATGCCCCTGAAGATGTTTTTTTAAATCGTCCTTCCGAGAAAACTGCTTGTAACAAATTGCACATAAAAGTTCTTCAGTGAGCTGACTTAGACATCGTTCCGAATTAGGTGTAAGTTCTGGCAACGTTTTTATTATTTTCATGTTATTCTTCTCCAGAAAACCTGAAATAAAAACCAACTAATAAAAAGTTGTTGATTTTGAAACTGACAGGTGTGACTTGGAAAAAATAAATATGAAACTACATATATATACAGAAATTTAAAAGATATCGTAAAACCTTCCAGAGAACAGAAGCATCAAGAATTAAGTAAAACTGTTACATACATGACTAAAGTTTATTTGTCGAATGAAGAGTTATTCCTTTTCCAAATTTTGGATGTAAGGGCACTAACATCGGCAGATATAAAAATATAGATTATTTGCAAGGACTGTGCAAAATTCGAATGAAAACACATATACAGGATGAATCATGAGGAACTACACATTTTCCTACCTCGTATGGAGGCCCTTATAGGGATTAACAAATGACAATTAAAAAATGACTACTAGCATTATCTAATAATATACAGGGTGACTTGTGACTTTTGAAAGACATACGCTTACCAATTGAAATATGTGGGAACTATGGTAGAGCAACCTTGCATTGGTGAAAAAAACTACATTTTGTTTATCGTGTATAAACACCTTCAAAAACGGAGTCTTATAACAGGAAATAATTCGGCAGAGGTGATAGATAAGTTGAACGGACAGCAGTGGTGGTAAGGAGATCGAATGAATTGTGAAATAATATAAGTATAACAATTGGGGTCATCCTGAAGGGGGAGAGAATGATATTTTGTTCAATCTAGAACTCGCTGGTTTCCCCCTTTCGGATTGGGTATGTATATTCAAATAAAGAAAATAAATGAAAGCCAGCGGACTGTATAAAACTCTATTTTAGAACGCTGTAAAAATTAAACATAAATATACATAACCAAATACAACTACAACTAAAGAAGAATATACAAACATAAATATTAGTTAATATGAAACGCCAAAAAACAACCATAACCAAAACAAAACAAAGATGTCGATGAATAGGTTTTAAGAACAGATTAACAACAAAGGAATTTAAGATTTCCATTGCTATGGTTGAGTATGATTGGAAATAACGCATAAATTGATATTAGACGTTAACCAGTGAAAAATATGCGCACATTTAATAATAATATCCTTAATCCGTGGCAAAATGAACAAATCTTGATAATAAAAGTTATACAAAATGCAATGAGACATAACATATATGAATTATATTAAACGTAATACAAAATTAATACAAAACATACATGGACTATAATCGGTGTGAAAACAATACAATATAGAATACAGTATACAGATTGAACGAATTTAAAACGGAACATAGGAAATACATGTATATGGGCTCTACTTCACTTTAGGTGCTTAGCCAACAAAAGGTTGTCAAATAATTATATTATACAAATCTAATACTTCAGCGGGCGGCTGGATTCTGAATTCGTTGTTTAAAACAGGTGAAAACTCCCCCAAAAAGGTTGCCCCGCCCATCACGTATAAAAATTAAAAGCTACACTTGTACATTTCAGCAGTGTTGCCAACCGGAGGAAAATGTTCGTTATTTATTTATTTATCTCACGTTTGATGAGAGAAATCACATGCAATGAAATTCGATCAATAACGAATTCAATAACGACGTATTTCAGTTGAGTCAATTTATCTTTACCCGTGCGTCATGATTTAAAACATACGAAATCAGTCGGAAATTTACTCAACGCAACAGAAAGTGACAGAAAATGGTTATGACAATCTGTGTGAATAAGGTTAACCTTAAGGAAAATTAACGGCAAATTAAAATACACTTACCATAAAATTTTCAACTGCAATATAAAGTTAGTTGTGAAAATAACTGTTTGTGTAATATAAATAATTGCAAAATGTAAAAATGGGACAAAACATAGCAAAATAGTCAACAGCTATTTATAACTGACAGCCACAAAAGTAAACAAACCAGAAACGTCAAAAATTGTTCTCACAATCTGAAAACGTCCATATATAAAAACAGATTTCCTTTAAGACAAATTTTGATTTATTGACTTAAAGAAGGCCTCAGGCTGAGTACAAAATTAATTGATCGAATCCTAACATGCGATATAAATTTTCTCAGCTATTTAATATTCTGTTTTAAAAAAGTTCAAAAAAGTTATGTTTTTTACCTATCTTAAGTTTTTTAAGTTTAAAATTTAAGTTTTGTTTTTAATACTAAAGCATGAAGAATCAAACCAAAGCTGGATTTTAGGAGGCCTGTTATATAGTTTCTGCAAATAAGGTAGTACTCAAATTCTTGCAGAATATAAAAGAGTAGAATATATGTTACACCCAGCTAAGATACCTACTCACAGACAGGAACAGTAACAGTCGAATCATAATTTTGAAAGACAAAATAAGATTCCACTTTCAAACAACGATGGCAAAGTGATAGGATATCTTTGATAGATTTTTGAAAAATGACTTTGTGAAAAATATTGTGTTGGAGGGATCAAAACTGCATTTTCAACATATTTGTAAATCGTCGTAATTGTACTTACGAATTTCGCCATGACCGGTGATTCCGTAAGTACAGTTATGATGATTTAAAAATACATAGAAAATGCAGTTTTGAACTATCCAACACAATAAAGTCATTTTTCAAAATTTTATAATTATGTGTTTATACTTCTGGAACAGCAATATTTTGATTTCCAAGGACGTAGAAATTCTTTATGATATCAAGCATATCTGTACTGCAGTTTTACAAGTACTACTTAGTACAAATCTATTTCACTTTGACTTAATGAACTTTGTGGGAATGATTAGTTTAGAGCACTCAACATAACCAAATATATTTTCTCTTTTTGAAGAACTTCCATAATAATTATTTTATTATAAATTTGAAATATTCTTCGAAACTGATGGAATATTTCAAATCTTGCAACAGCGGCATTTTTCGCCAAATCTATTGTTAAAATTGGAACGAGTGAACCTAGGACCTAGGCAAGACCAGCACTTGCCCAGAGCGGTGTTGCCGCTATTCATTCCTCTAGCTGTTTCTCATATAAGGTGTTTCTTTCCTGTAAACCATAAAATATGTATTTACAGGAAAGAAAGGAAATAACTACATAAAGTTTATTTTTGTTATTAGTCTGTTGTAATAGATTGGTAAATACAATGAAAAATATAGGCAAATATCCGATTTATTTAAAGATACGAAGCAGATATAACTCTCAAACAGATCCGCAAATCGGATTATTACACGGCGATTGGCAACATTGACTTTAGGCGTTGCTATTAGACTACGGTGCGTTCTTAAAGTAGACAGATAGTTGAACGATATTTTATACAAGGTCTATCAGCGGATATGGATTTATTTTTGTCCAAGTTTTATATTGGTCCACTATTTCAAATGCAGTTCAAATAGACATATATTAAATTGTATGTTCCGTTTTAAATTCGTTCAATCTGTATACGCTAAAATAAATGTTTATGTATATGAAAAATGTTCTTTTAACAATGTTCTATCGCGATCGCGGCACAAATGAGCTAATTGTTCTAACCAAATAAGAAAATCTATATACCAAATAACGTACTTGATATATGCAGCAACATAGATAAATGGTGTATTGTACTTTACCCCATGAAAAGATAGCACCCCCGCAATCACAAACGTCTTCAGCGACTTATATACAGGACCCACAAATTTGACGTCTTTCTCGGCCAAAGGGCCGATGCGGAGTCGCAGGTACTTTTAACCCAAAACGCATACATCTGTATGCTTTGAAAGATAAATCTCGACTCTGATTTTGTAGATGGAATTCAAACCCTTAACTTATATACACACGTGTGGTGATGTTTCGGAGATGCCTCGTTCTTTTAAATTAGTTCTTAAAACAGCTGTATTTTTCGCATAGGCAAATCTCAGTTTAAATATACGGGGAAAATCGAAACTATCAAAAAGCCTGTTATTATTTTACAAATGTTTATATACAGTTGCGAAACTGCAACAAGATTCTACTCTAGCGTAGAATCTCGTATGTCTGTTTAAATAATATGGTCGTGGGAACGACTCGAAACAAATTTTCATTTATAATATGTTACTCAAAAGTGTGTTCTAGTATGTGATTTCAAAGCACACTTTACAGAAAACGACTTCAAACAAATTTCACATTGATAAGGTTTCTCACCGGTGTGCACCCTTGTATGTTTCTTTAGACAGGTTTGTTGGGAAAATGATTTAAAACAAGTTTTACACTGATATGGTTTTTCTCCAGTGTGCATTCTAGTATGTAATTTCAAAGATCCCTTTGTAGAAAACGATTTCAAACAAATTTCACACTGATACGGTTTCTCACCAGTGTGCACTCTTATATGCTCATTTAAATTTTGTAGATAGGAAAATGATTTTAAACAAATTTCACATTCATACGGTTTCTCACCAGTGTGCACTCTCTTATGCTCATTTAAATTTTGTAGATAGGAAAATGATTTAAAACAAATTTCACATTGATAAGGTGTCTCGCCAGTGTGCACCCTCATTATGTGCATTTAAATGATGTAATTTAGAAAATGATTTAAAACAAATTACACATTGATGTTCATGAGTTTTTTCTCCAGTGTGTAATTTCCTATGCCCTCTCATAGAACCTGGCTGAGAAAACGACTTAAAACAAATATCACACTGATAAGGTTTTTCAGTGTGCGACCTCTTATGAACTTGCAAACCACTATTACGAGAAAACGATTTAAAACAAATATCACACGGAAAGGGTTTAATATGCCCCTGAAGATGTTTTTTTAAATCGTCCTTCCGAAAAAACTGCTTGTTACAAATTGCACATAAAAGTTCTTCAGTGAGCTGACTTAGACATCGTTCCTTATTACGTGTAAATTCTGGCAAAGTTTTTATTTTCATTTTACTCTTCTCCAGAAAACCTGAAATAAAAACCAACTAATAAAAAGTTGTTGATGTTGAAACTGACAGGTGCGACTTGGAAAATTAAATATGAAAATACATACATATAATTTAACAGATATCTTAAAACCTTCTAGAAAACAGAAGCATCAAGAATCTTCTGAAAGTAATCAAATTAAGCAAAACTGTTACATACATATAGATCAATATATCCTTTCGAATGGAGAGCTATTCTCTTATCGGATTTTGAATGTAAGAGCACTAACATCACCAGAAATAAGAAGTGATCATAAGCTAGTATTGTGCAAAATCCGAATGGAAACACATATACAGGGTGAGTCATGAGGAGCTATACCGTAAGTTGAGGCTACTTGGGACAATTTTAACATTTGGAACTTTACCACTGAATAACCAACAAATCTTAAAAAAAAACACGTTCAAAACTTGGAAGTACAATTGTACTTCCAAGGAAAATTAAAATATTTTGGAAAAATATGTATATGAATGTTTCAAATATAAAGTTACTTTTACGAAATTATAATTTGTGTTATGAGAAGCTACAAGTTTTGAATAAGTATAAAACAGCATTAATAAATATTTTTTGTTACTTTAAATGCAGTTAAATATTGTAAATTATTTGACAGCACTTTCCACATCTTGTCTATTAGGACCTTCTTATTATTAGGTGTGAATGGTAAACACCACAGACCACTATTTGTGGGTAAACCATCAAGGGGTAAACTCCCTACAACGACATTTGTCAATGCATTTCTCTTATATATGGTAATTTAAGTAATACTATTAATTTTTTATATCATTTTAATCAATTTTATTGTATATGCATTTAAGTAGTATCTTTAATTTAATTAAAATCTACGAATTTTTATACAATTTCAATGCATTTCTATAATTTTATGTGCGAGTATGAGAAAACTGAAGATATGGCAACTCTGACACCATTTAAGCTTACATTAAATGTCAGAAACAAGTTTGGTTATGATGGGTGCCCAAAAGTGCAGTACACAGTATCTTCAATATTATTAAACGTATAGCGACATAGGAGATATCATAGAACACTATGAATAAAAATATATTTAATGTAAGTCAAATTTTGATTTATTAACTTGAAGAAAGCCTCTGGCTGAGTACAAAATAAACAACTGACCGAATCCTAACATGCGACATAGCAAATGAAGGGGGAGAATATAACGAATATATCGCCACTACCATTTCCTTTTCCATAGAAAAAACAAACAAAGCGACTACCAAAAGTGCAGTTAATAAAATAAACAACTAGCCAAATCCTAGCACATGACTCATTAAATAAAACGACATGAGACATGTAGTAGATATAATGTATAAACCGTGCCATCAAAAAATATATACAGGATATAGTAAAAAATGATCAGAAGAGTATCAGATCATACTTAATATTTACTTGGTTTACATGAAAGAAGTTTATTGTTATAAAAATTTAATGAGTGACTACAGATTTCCATTGATTGAACCTTCCGTCGCATGCGACGGGCAGAATTACTTGTTTAATTTATAAGCATTAATACTATCACAGCTCGTGCAATACATTTAAATAATACAACCGGAACAAAAATGAATCGAATTCCCATCTTCCCATTAAACAAAATTTTTACTGCAAAATATAATAGAAAACAATTATGTTCCGAATAACACATCATTCAAATGTCCACCGCGACTACGTTTAGAGGAGTGAATCCGATGAACCAAATTTTCGGTCACTTTATGCAAAATATTCGCATTAATCTCACGAATGGTGAGCTCTATGGTCCTCTTCAAGTCTTCAATAGATTGTGGTTTGTTCACATAAACCAATGACTTAACACAGCCTCATAAAAAATAATCCAACGGTGTTAAATCGTGGCACCGTCCTGTTAAAAAAATATGCCATCCAAATCCATTTCATCCAACTAAGGCCGTTATTATCGTTCGATACCTTTCACCGTTGACTGTTACACCATGTTATAAGGTCCGATGATGCCACCATGCCATAAACCACACCAGACAGTGACTTTTTCTGGATGCAAAGGCTTCTCAAGAATCTCATGTGGATTATTTTCATTCCAAAAACGACAATTTTGCTTATTCACAAAGCCGTTTAACCAAAAATGAGCTTCATCGGAAAAGATTATTTTTTTGAAAAATCGAAATCATTTTCGAGTTTGTCTTCAGCCCAATCAGCGAATAAACGACGCTTATGATGGTCAAGTAGCTTCAATTCTTGAGTCAGAACAACCTTGTAAGGGTGTAGGCCTAAATCCTTTCTCTGAATTTCGATAAGATGTCATTCTGGTGAGTCCAAGTTCTTGAGAACGACGATTTACGGACACATTTGCATTCTCCGCTACACTGGCTCTTACAGCAGGAATATTGTCCTGAGTTCTTGCATTTCGGCGTCTAGTTGGTGGTTTCGTATCGTGCAGAGTAAATTCACGTTCAAACTTTTCCACGATTCGACGAATTACACGCACATCAGGACGATGATTTGGTCCATAACTTTCACGTAATGAACGATAGGTATTCACAAAATAACGATTATTAGCATAAACTTTTAGGACAATTTCCAACCGTTATTCAAGCGTATATCTTGCCATAGTAATTTGTTAGAGTATACTAAATACAAACGTCAACAAGTGACAGTTCTACCATTTTCAAAATGGCCGCCATGACATTTCAAAAACAGGACATCCTATTGGGAAACCCAATATATTGTCTTCGGAGTTTTTGGAATTATTTGCTTCTGACGTTTTGTCTGAAACGTGGACGTGACCTATCGCTCCTATTATCCGTTTGTGCCATGAGGATGCATCCTTTATAATTATTACTTTTAATGTGAGTACCTACGTTTCGGGAATGAATTTCACAAGTACATAATACACTGCTTGGAATAACTTTTTATTAGGAAGAATTTTCTCCAGGGTGCAGCAATCTCATATGTTTTTTTACATTGTTTGATTGGCTAAAGAACTTCAAACAAATTTTGCACTGATAAGGTTTTTCTCCGGTGTGTAATCTGATGTGTTGTTTTAAAGAACCTGACCGGGTAAAAGATGTCAAACAAATTTCACACTGATAAGGTTTTTCTCCGGTGTGGATTGTCATATGATTTTTCAAATCACACGATTGAGAAAATGACTTAAAACAAATTTTACATTGGTACGGTTTTTCTCCCGTGTGTCTCCTAGTGTGACCCTTCAAATTACCCGAAAAGGTAAACGACTTAAAACAAATTTGACACTGATATGGTTTTTCTCTAGTGTGTATTCTCTTATGTCCTTTAAAATTACTTGCATTGAAAAACAACTTCGAACAAATTTCACATTGGTAAGGGGTTTCCCCTGTGTGTTTTCTCATATGTTCTTTCACATCACTATTAGTGGAAAAAGCCTTGAGACAAATTTCACATTGATAAGGTTTTTCTCCTGTGTGTCTTCGTATGTGTATTTTCAAAGCATTTGCTTGAGTAAAGGACTTAAAACAAATTTTGCACTTATATGGCTTTTCTCCAGTGTGAGTTCTTGAATGTACTTTTAAAGCATAACGTCGGGAAAATGATTTCAAGCAAGTCTCACATTCATAAGACTCTTTTCTAGAGTGCTTTTCAACACGTTTTTTATTACGTAGACGTTCAGGTAATGTTTTTATTATTTCCATTCTATTCTTCTCCAGAGAATCTAAAAGAAAAACCATAATAAAAAAATTTGTTGATTCCTAAACGAACGGATGCGATTCGGAAAAATCAAGTAGGTAAGACTCATTACAATTATCAATTCGTATATACGTAAATAGGTCAATTTAAGAAACAACTCGTCCAATAACATTTTTTCTGAATTTAAAAATGCTTTCCAAACACGTTTAAATGTAACTCAACCATAAACACGATGCAGTCCGACCTACACGACTAAAGTCAACCTCTTATCTTCCCCACGGTATTTCTATTCAAGCATTCACTAATTTTCCTTCTCTATTATCACAATTTATGTCAAAAAATTAATAATAGACAGAGTTATACTGTGGTTTAACCTATATGTTGGTATTTTATGAGTTTTGTGGTGCTGTGCCTAGTGATAGGAAGACCTGGTTCGTTTAAGTGACCCGGGTCTTTCAGTTCAATCATTAAAATAACCCGCTTATAAAGATCCGTTCATATGAACGACTAATTAAATTTGTTATGTAAAGGTCAAGTGTTTAGAGTTTAATATTGATATGTTTATGAATCTTTATGAGGGTATATTAATTAATGATAATGCAGAACCCATTCAGAGATTCGTTCATTAGAACGACTTTAATTATATTGTTGTTTACGTGTAGAATTCGATATTGTTACTATAAATTTAAAAATGAAATATAGTTTTAAGATTGACATTAAGATTTGTATTTCTGAAATTGTAGCGTTTTAAATTTTTTTAACCATGAAATATTTATGTTTAAAATTTTGTAGTTCACCCCTGAGCTTTATATAAATATTTTTGTCTTTATTTACATTCAAATCCCCCAATTCTCTGTATACATTGTGAGGTAGTTTTCCAAATTCCGGTTATAACAAGGATGTTAAAATAATCAATATAATACGTGTTTTTTGGCCAGGACTGACCTGGCTGGCTTGAAAATCACCGATATTTATAAGTGTTCAATACTATGGTATTTTCAGATTAACCAGCCAATAAGAAAATTCGAGGCGGGGCGATGCGCATCAGAGTGCATACTAGTTCTCAGACTATAGTACTCATGACATCCCCACCGCTCTGGAGACTCTGAGGCTGGGAAAAGGAAATATTTATTAAAACTGTAAAAAGTACATAAATTAAAATAGCGATACACAAAAAAATATGAGAAACAAAAGTACTTACGTATTTAAACATATAAAAATAAGAAAATGTTCTTGATTATCGCAACACTGCACAAAAAAACACTACACAGGGGAAGGTCGGTGGTGGTGACAGCATCTACAGGTCCATCCTCAGTCTATGTACACACTCCTTCGGCGGGTTCGTCTTCTTCTAGGCGTTCCAGATCCCATCTGCCATATCAAACGGGGTTTCATAGGCCAGTGAGCCTAAGCCTACATGGTTACGACCACATATCTGTAGGGAGGCAATAACTGGACCTACTACGTGATTTCCGTTGACAGCATCGAAGACCGGCTCGTCGGTGTCTGCACACTGAAGGTCTCGATGTCAGCATGTTAGCTGGATGCGCTAACATCCGATGCTTCTCCCCGCTATCTTTCTGAATCCAGCGCATGGTGGATTCATCTGTGTACCTTCTATGCAGGTGGGTCATGGGCTCGAAAGCTAGTTGGGCGCCATGTCGTCTTTTTGTGGAAAATAAGGGGTGTAAAACCCTTTAAAACCACAAAGTACACTCTCTTGATGTTAACTTGTCTTTGCAAAGTAAAATAAACCACTTCTAGGGTTAAAATAAAACAACAGGTACAGTTGAAAAGAAACTCAGCCACAGAGTCTAGGAAACAATACGCAGGGGAGCCCGAGAAGGACTGACCTGGCTGGCTTGAAAATCACTGATATTTATAAATGTTTTACTATATATATGGTATTTTCAAATTAACCAGCCAATAAAAAAATTCAAGGCGGAGCGATGCGCATCGGAGTGTGTACTAGTTCTCAGACTATGGCACTCAACGACAGTCCAAACTACAAATATACATCTTTACAATGTATCTTTCAAGATACGGAGGTATTTTTCTAATAACTTGGCAATGTATCTATTGGTCATCAGTACTTGTTTTATAGTATTCCTGGCAATGTGTCTTGTAAGGTACATTGTAATGTATGGTACGCCTAGTAGTGTATCTTATGAGATACAATATCAAAAAATTTAAAATAGAAACAAAAATGTAATTAATTGACTCTGAAAATGGGGCCATCTAAAAATGATATTCAGTAAGCAAAAACATTTTTCTTACAGCGGTTATGTGCGCGCCAAGTTAAGGGTTAAGGGGATAAAAAAATTTAAAAGGAAACTCCATGTTTTGCACTTTTTTCCTAATTATTGCTATTTTTAAACAATACACACTAAAAATAAAAATAAAATAGACAGTTAAGGTTTGATTTCGTTACAGTTTACCACAATTCACTGATATACATATTTCTGGCTCAGAGCGAACTATATAATAGTTATTTAAATAAACATTAAATTTTCAATTTATAGTTAGTCATATATTATGTAAAATTGAAGAACGAAACTTTTCCCTTTATAATTTTTTTATAGGAACAATATCCCTTGAGTTATTATAGGCGAAAATATGGGTGAAAAAAGCAAAAATTTTGGATTTTTTTCAGATCTTGTTAAATAAAAAATTAAGCACAAAGTTTGGGACTGGTGCATATCTTGATTATTGATACAAGTTACACCCTGAAGTGATTCCACCAAAACAATAGACTCCTATGGAAAATGTCCAACAAACAACTTTGCTGCAAAATGATTTGCTGTTGTAGTATTGATTTGCTTTTGTAGTGAGCTTTCTGGGAAATCCTATATATATATATATGTTAGAAACATATTTATAGCAAAAATGAATAAACAAATAAAGAAAAGTTGATCCAAAGTTATAAAAACAGTTAATAACTATGCCAGAAGTATTCTAAAGCTACAATCTCATGACAGAAATTTTGTTTTTATATCATTTGTCTCACCTGAACAATCCTCTCCTTTTGGTGGTTCATCCTTAACATCTTCAATGCTAATTGATGTAGATAACTGACTCTCTTTATCATATTCCCCAACTTCTTGCTTAATTTCATCTTTGATTTCCATAACTAATAAATAAATTAAAGAAAATTATTGCGGACATTTCTCTTATTAGCAATGCAATAAAATACTTTGTATTAAAGCCACAATTATAACTTGCTTATCTATTAAAATTTAGTTGTTAGATAAATAAAAATAAATTTGTTACAAGTCGAATCCCTCCATGGTCTCAACAGAGATCAACGAAACATATAATCAAAAGTTTTTCTGAAATGTATACTGACTAAGACACAATAAATATAACACAAAAATAATTAAGTACAAAACAACACTTATAGATAAATCAAAAATGGTCATGGCCTGATCAAAATGCCTGACACAAAAAATAATTAATCAAGGATGAAAATTTGGGACTAGTTAGATGAAAAAAGTTTACATTCCTGAGGTACCGTTCCCATCATAAAAAAACTGGTACAACTCTTATAATCAAAAATCGTGTTTTTTAAGTTGTGTACGTTGATCTTGTCACATCTGTCATTCTGATTTGTAGGGCACCGTTGCCAGTTCAACGAAAATATTATATAAAACCAGCTAAAAGCAAGGCTTTGTGACATACCGCCAGTTTTTAGTATACTAAACACTAAAAAATTATCGAGCATTCTCGATCAGTCAGTCACATTTAATTTATTTAAACATGCATACTAAAAAATTCTCATATTAATTTTGTAATTTTCCATCATCTCAATTAAGTACCCATACATTGATTTGTGTTTTATAACAATTTATGAAAATATTTCAACTCAAAAATAATGACAGATAATCAATCTAGACAAACTTCAAATTATTATAATAAAACATTACAATGAGATATTGGATTGGTTATTGGAGATATACGTAGGATAAAGTATAATGTTAGTTTTTCACATTTTTTATAGTTCTTTTAATAAATAATAAATAAATCTTGGTAGTTTGTTACAAAACTTAGTGACACAGAATACAGTTTGAGATCGGTAGGTAATTGAAGTATAAAATTACAGTAGGTGCATTCCAATGTTCCCTGCGCCAATACCCTAGGTTTAAAAATCCTTAAAACATTTTGGATAATAACTTAACCCTATTTCTGCTTATTTCATTTCTTAGATTCAGTTTTTTGGTAATGATAAAAATAATACCTATCTAAAAATTTTATACATTTTTGAACGTTATTTTTTTATTAGATTTAGTGCAATTCCGTTATCTGTAATGGCAACAACGAATTGATTTCTGAACACAGGTTTACATTGGGAAAAAAAAGTGTACCAGTTTTATATGACGGGAAGTGTACCAACTTCCTGCTTGCAACAATTTTTTCCAAAAAATGCCAAGTTTTCATGTATAGATAAAGCTGTATTTGGTAAAATATTGAAAAAAAAATATTTTTAGAAAACTATCAGCATGACTACCTCAAAAGTTTGTCAAAACAATTTTTGAACACATTTTTGAATTGACTAATTTTTCAATCAATATGGAGCAATTATCGAACATAAAAATTTAAGAAAACCACAAAATGTATAAGAAACCTCAATTATAATGTGAATAATAATATTAATTTAAAGAAATTTGTTTAAAAATAAACACATAGTTTTTGAGAGCAACAAATATTTTTTGTCATAAAACTTTATACAATCATTTAAATTAAAATTTCTTTTAGATTTAAATTCTAAAATAATTATGTAATATTTAACTATAATTAGAATTTTAATTGTAAGGGCTAAAATTGGTGTTGTGTTAAATATAGCATTTTTTTAGTTTATTTTTAAGTGCACTTTTCAAAATTCAATCAACATCTTTGTTGAAAATAAGTAAAAAGCAATGAAAATGTTATGGTCAGTACATAAAAATGTGCTTTTTCTAAATAATTTTTTACTTTTTTTGTGACTTAAATTATTTTTAATTATAACAGATAAGTTCAAAAACTGATCATGTTTTAATAAAATCAATAGCATTTTTTTCCAAACTGATGTTTTTGAAAAGGATATTTGAGTGCATATTAAAGAAGACTTGATTTATCAGATGCATATCTTTATATCGTCGGTACACAGCCAAAGTGGCGTATGTGAAAATTTGACGTTTTGAGAAAATTGGATTTGAATTTTGTTGCAACTTTTAAGCTTGCTTTTTTCCTATCTTAGTTGGGCGTATTCTATTAATTTGTCACTATTACATAGGTACTATTATTATTATTAAATTTTATAAATTAAAAACTTAATCAAAAAAGACAAACATTTTAAAATTAAAAAAAAACTGGACGATGTGTTAGATACGTCAGTTTGGCTTTGTAATGTAATTTTTGCCAAGGACTTAGGTCAAGTATTAGGGATCAAAATAACAATTAATAATTTATAAAAATATGTTTATTTTAAAAATGAGAGTTATTTAGGATACTATTTTCACAAATTAATAAGTAAAATAGAATATGCATTTAATCTTCATGATCGGTGTCTTCAGTGGCATCTGGTTCTGGCAGAGAGTCTCTCTCATTAGCAGCAACGTTTAATGAGTTGTAAAAATTTTCGTAAATCTTTGGAATTGTTCCAGATGCACAAATGCTCAACAGATCGTTTTGTTTAGCTACTGATATTGGAAGGTTTCTGTCAAATGCTTTGGCAATATTTTTATTGTATTGTCGTGATGGTTTGACGATAAATCCCTCAGTAAATACAAACGGAAATCAGTTTATATGACACTTTTACTCCTTCCTCAGACTTAGAGTACCTCACGTGGCATATTTTTCTCCAGGGTAAGCCTCGTAATTTTGCCTTGTATAATGACTTGAAGTCCAAAAACTCATCAAACCTCATTTCTGTTACCTGAAAAGGACTGGGTTTATTCCTCGCACTTCGAATTACTTGGGCCCATCCTTCCGGAGTGTACACAGGAATGTGTTTAGACTTTTTCTCTATTTTTGAGTGAATACTGTCACACTCCATTTCAGTATGCCCAGTTTCAAAAAATTTATGGTTTATCATTGTTAGGTCATTACTTTCGCTCAATAAATTTATAATCATTGTGGAAAAAATGTAGTTTTTTTGTTGCACTCCGCAACTATCCGATATCATGTTAACAGTAGTAATATTTTCTTGATGTAAAATATATTTCCTAATGCAGGTTGCGATTTCGTTGGCTCCTCTTCGTCCATTACTCTCGTCCCATAAAAAACACAGAACTTCTTGGTTACCAAGATTATAAAACTGTTAAATTGTAAACTGCAAACTTTCGAAGATAAAAAATCTGACCGGCTGGCCCTTTTGGCGTATTCAGTACTGCCTGTAAATCAAAATTAAAAGAGAGAGTTCTTTCTTCAGATTGAGCCATTTTTTTTATCCTTATCCCGTTCACCTCGAGCATCATCTGGTTTTTGGAGGTGCAGTCTGAATTCCTCCTGCGCCTCTGTAGTGCTTTCACTCGCACTATGAAAATTTATGCACTTCCTGCACTGGTCCTTTTTTGGAACGAAAAATCCAAGATTATAATCATTAAAAATCTGTCTGTAGTTTTTCCAAACTGACAGGATTATTTAGATTCTTTTCTACAAACATTCTGTACATTATAGAAATGTTTAAGGACGATTCTAAATATTTTTTGGAGCTACTTTTTCTACAGTAGTGTGACTCCATGGCAGAAAATGAATTTATATGCATTCTGATCATTTTTTCCGTTGACGAAAGCTTATTACCAGGAGTATGTTTGCCTCTTTTGTCAGATTGTACTAATACATTATTCTGACTCTTTTTTAATGCTGTTCTAACAGATCTCTCAGTAGCGTTTAATGTTTTAAGAAAAAAGTCTCTACAGACTAGTCTTTTTTCACCACCTACCAAAAAGTAGTATAAGTTTGTGAACTGCCTTTTAGAGTTCACAACAGTAGTTCTTTTCTTTGGCTGCTGCTCAATCAGTTTACTTAAAAATTGCCTCTGACTGTTTGTATTCTCGAGAGATTATATTCCTTGTAAATCTGTTGTCTGACTTCTTCAGGAACGAGAATAGAGCAGTTGTGCGTTTTTGAAGCACAACATACAGGTAGTATGGGTCGAGCACTTTTTAATAAACCTTTGCTTCTTTTGTATTCCTCACCCCCCAAACGGCTGGATTTTCTAATATTTTTCTTTCAAAGCGCCGGATTACACTTCTTTTTTGACGGAAATTCGTTACCTGCAAAAAACAAAGGACAATATTTAATTAGAACAAACCTCTACTAACAAGAAATAAAATTGCGCATAATTTATCAACTTTCCATACCTGATAATTCTTTAGATTCATGTATTATTGGGTTGTTCTGTACCTTCTAATATCGAGTAAAATATTTGTATCGATGTCGTCAGGTTCAATACTTGTAATTAGATAATCCTCCTGGCCAAGTTCCTCCCCTGTAAAACTACCTATGGCAGACTCCTAAAAAAGTAGGTATCTATAGGTACATTGATTTCAACTTCACCTTGAGTTATAACTTAGAAGTAGTAGTAAAATTACCTTACCTTTCCTTCGATTTGAACTGGTAGTTGTGTAATGTCAACTGCTATGTTTTCCATTTCGTTTAGTTGGGCTTGTAAGACAGATTATAAGGAAATGTTATGTTCTCCTCTCTCTGACAAAGGAACGTCCTGTGTGTGTGTGTGTGTGTAGAACATTCCAGATTTTCCAAGGAAGTCTACAAGGTAGCAGTCGCAAATTAATTATTAAAAAGTCTACATTAGATGGAAAAAAGTGTATTATTTTACATTTCCCTGGCTCCTTCTATTAACCTGTTTTATCTAAGTCAACATTGTCAGTGTCCATATAATCATTATCTGTTGAATTTTCACATGATTTCTACAAAATGATAATTTACTTATTTTATTTAACAATATTCGGAATTAGGAAACTTTTTAATAGGTACTCACTTTCTTTCTACAAAGTTGAAGCATAACCTCTGATCTTCTTTTCACCCCACCATGCATTGGTTGGTATCTTTTCATTCTTACTAATATGAATTAATATGTAAAGGTATTAAAAAGTAATATTTTTTATAGCCACTAAATAATTCTCACTAATTCTCACTAATTCTTACTAATATGAATTAATACGTAAAGGTATTAAAAAGTAATATTTTTATAGCCACTAAATAATACAAAACAAACAATAAAACACGAAATAAAATCAACACATTTGTACACTGGACAAAATCAACCGTTAGATACGTCGCGTCGACTTACAAGACTATAATTGTTACACGAGGTTGCCGTGTCAGTTACAATGACGCATCGATACATACGCCACTTTCGTTTTGAAAGGAACCTTGAGTTATCACTAGACTGAAATGGCGTATGTATATGTGTCATTTTGGTTTTGAAAATCACCATTCGTTTTGCTATACGCCAAATGAGAATTAAGGTTTAAAATAATGTTCGTAACTAAATTCAATTACGCCGTTCTGGCATTGCAAAGAAAATGTAAAATCATTTAAACATGCAACAAAACCCAAAACTAGCCAAATTTGCAGATACGCCACTTTGGCTTTGTACCGACGATATATAAAAATCTCCTGTCATGATGTTTGTCCAAGCTAATATTCAAAAACTTCTGAACCCATTGCAATAAATTTTTGTGAAAGTATTTGTTGGTCCAACTTAGGAGATAGGATATATTGTATCTCGATGAAAGACCCTTATTTTATTAATTGTAAACTGTGAATTAATTCATTGAAACCTATATAATAGAAATAATGTTGTTGCCTCCTAGAATGTATATGCAATGATCTAAACACATAAAACGACATACCATCCTCAATTTGTACTAGTTCAGCCTTATCCTCCTTTAATTTGATATCTTCAACAGTAATGCCCATGTTTAAATGGTCTGAAGGGCAACCATCAACAAAGTAGCTTTTTGTATCGTTGCTAATGGAATCGTCCACATATTGGTCCTCTTGAATGTCAGTTTTAAGAGAAGAAGGAACAGAAACATTGGGGAAATCGATAAATTCTGTTTTTACCTTGCATTCTTCTATCGGACAAAGATTTTGTTCTTGTTTAACTTCCATTTGTATTGACTTTACGATTGTTTATTGTTTCCTACAATATTTCTATTTCTTTTTCTTATTGTGATTTTACACTACACTGTTAATTTTTTTTGACAATTGACATCTTTCACTTTTGGAAGATTGGACAGAAAGACAAGAGATTGGATTGGATTGAAAATATTTTTGTTGTTTAAAATCGATTATCCGAGCCGAGCTCGTACAAACTACAAAGGTGGCTTTGGCCATATATTATTATATTCGCAATGTATGGTCTAATTATGGAAATTAATAAGTTACTTAAAATGGTTCTGGAACTCTTTTCTTGTGGGATGTCATGTTAAATGTAATGAAAATTACATTTTATACTTATTTATTTGTCGTTTCGATTCATGTACTGTTCGTTGTGAGATATTCCGGATAATCTTCTATTATAGGTAAAGTTGTATACAGGGTCGGACTTATATACTGATACATTTTATCAAAATTACGGCAATCCCACAAAGTAAAATAAAATTACATATAAATTCGACTTATTTTAAGATATATATTTTAAATATATACGGAGCATTATCCAAAATAATAACGCTATTCCTTTTAATTTAGGTAGTAATTGCTGCTCAAACCACTTTTCAAACAAAGTACTGTCCATATATTGTTGAAAATCTAAACGACAATCACTTGTAATAATTAATAAAGCATCTTCTACCCATCCTGATTCTCCTCCACAATGTAAAATACAAATTCTCTTCTCTCTAGAGGGAGGAACATTGGTGGCGCAATTTTTGCTACCATCGGTCCAACATTTTTTAAATATATCATGGGTGCCAAACCAAGTTTCATCCAAATAATACAAGTTCTTCGCTTTACTCCTAAAAGACCTTAGATTCTCCAAATAATCAAACCTCCACTTTATTAAACGCCCAAAAAGTAGTTTTATGGCACTTGAGGATTATTTCTTTGTTTCTTAATTCACTCAAAAGTTTATTTAAAGTTGGTAAGTTATTCACTGAATACATATGATATATTGTTTCCCGTATAGCTGATAAATAAAAATTCGGTAATACTCGATGGACACCAGAATCCTTTCTATTGTTTTTTTTTCGCAACACTGGACCGTCTTTTATAAGTTCGTACACAGTGGATCGTGACACTTGTGTCAAAAAACTGTGTTTTGGATCGCTTCTGATTTACCCATCGTCAAAAGAAAACCTAAGAAAAATATATAACTTTTCTTTTTAAGGAATTTTGCTCGGAATTCTGTATTTTTTATTAATTAATAAATCGGTAAATATGATTAACCTTCCTAATACCGGGTGGGGTCAATTCTCGCCCCAGGTCTAACGTTTTTATTAATATCTGTAATTAAGTTTAATCAATCACTTTGACGATTTAGGAAATTGGTATTTGATGTATTAAGACGACAAAGAAGTAGTAAAACCCAAACTACCGAGAACAAAAAATTAAATATTCTCGTCGGATTTCGCGGAAATGTAGGGCGAGAATTCGCTCCACGTGGTATCGACTGTTTTCACTTCTATAAATCTGATTTTATCAGTTTAGACGAAAGTTTTGGAAAATGGTTACTAATGACTGTACTTATTACTTGCCATGATGTGTAGTCGCATTATTTTACATTTTAGCAGTTGATTGTAATGTGTTTCCTTTATCTTTAAAATTCCATTCTTACTATTACACGGTGGGAACTTTTATAATTCCCCTTAACATATTTTTGTCTAGATTCTTTGAAGCATCACTTTCTAGTTAAGATTGTCCCTCTAAAGGCCGTATGACATTATGCATTTTCTTGTATCATTTCTTATATCGTTTCTGATATAACAAAAAAATGGTTAGTGTCATACAAGCGTATAGTTTCTTATATCAGAAACTATACAAGAATTTGTGTCCGCTGCATTTTCTTGTACAAGAATTGCGCCAATTTGTGCGCAAAGCCGCGAATACGTAAAACTTCTGTTATATTGGCGGCTGGAGGAGAACTTTGATATACAAACAATTATTGCAGACATCAGAGAAAATTGCCCACAAAACAATAACCAAGATTAGAACATCAGTAGCCAGGATCAAATAGCATCGGAACTACTGAAAGTAGGAGATAATTAGAGTTAAAAAAATGGTGAGATTAATGAGATACAGAGAATCCTTGCGCTTAAAAGTGAACCAAACTACTGGAGCGAGAAGTCGCCCCACCTGGTACTGGTCGTTTTAAAATTCACCCGGTATTAGGAAGGTTAACTAAAGAGTATTTTTAACGAGTACTTACCGTTGTAAACGTTAAGCATGATTTGCTTTGCATCGCGTGTGATATGAATATAACCAGAACGTTTTTCAGGTTCAGACTCGTCTTCACTTCCTGAAATAGTGGCAGAAATGTACAGGACATCGTCACTAATCATTTCTATATCACTCATATTTATAGTTATTACACTGACTTCTGTTCTAAATGAACGACAAAAGAAAAATGAAGTTCTTTTCAAATAAACATTCTTCTCACAGAAGCCCATTTATTGATAATTTGATATTAAGTAAACATTATACTTTTACCTGAATAAAATTCCAAGAAATTTTCTAATTTCTTATAAACACAGGCTTCACGTACCTAGAAATTCGTAATTCTGAATTCCAAGTACAAATGATTAAATTTAAATAGATACACAAAATTATGCTTAAAATTTTATTTACCAATCGTTAACAACTCAAAATTAAAATACGTACCTGGCTACACCTACTTATGTATCATTTAGTAAAACTTTGGATAGAATTTAAAATTGAACCTAATGTAACGAAAGACTAAGGGTGACTATTCGTTACAGCATTAAGGGAGTACAGTAATTTTGTGCTTGATATCGGCCCAGTCTCTTAATCTGGTGAATTCCATACCAATTATCTTGCAACGGATAGTACACTCAGGAAATCGTTCTCAACAATAAAAAAATATATAAAATAATCTCGTTTAAGAACAATTTCCGGAGAAGAAATCGAAACGCCAAACTATAAAAAGTAATCTTCATGCATTTATTGCTATTTTACAGCAATGGTAATTGTTGTAAAATACATTTTTACTGCTGCTAATACATTTTTAACTAGCCGTATCTTATAGAAAATTTAGTTGTCGCTATTCTATTTCGAACTTGTTTCGAAAATTACTATTGGCGATCCCCAACCTCCATTTCCGGTCTTGACCGCCAAAACATTATTTTCTGGTCAAAAAATTGTCCAGAAAATGTATATTTTCTGGTCTGTCGTAAAAAATGAACTATAGGTTGTTTTAATTAAGTACCAAGAACTTAAATAACTTTTTTATTAGTTGTTTCACATTATTTCGCTTTTCTATTGTGTACAAACATGTCGTCGGCTTAATCTGCTAAACCTGTAAGTCCAAAACAGACATTTTTTCAGGAGAGACAAAAAACTTTCTGTAAATTTTTATTTTGGCAAATAGAAAAAACCAAGATATACGTTTGTGTACATATAACAAATTGGACATTTTAAGGAATTTCTAAGAAGTTATTTGATCTTATTATGACATATTTAATTGGACTTACAGGTTTTTCCTATTTTTATTTAAATATTTTTGGGACTTACGGGATTTGATTACTCTAAGAGGTGGGTAAAAATGAATAATTAAAATTGAGTAAACTTATTTATTCCTTATATAAACGAACAAAACCTTAACCTAAAGATAATACAAAAATTTAAATATAAGTATGCCATATAGCATATCTAAAGATATGCCAGGTTGTCATAAAACGAGTGATAATCAGCTGTAATATTTATCTTAAGGGATTGCAAATGTACAAACTTTTCTCTTTTAATCGGTATGGAATTATCATATAAGCTTGGAATTTCACTAAATTTAAAGCATAACTCTTTTCTATTAGACTTTGGAACTCGACTAAAAGCAAGGTCTTGGTAATCTTGAGTATGTCTCAGCTTGTAAGCTATTGTTCCATCTGATGAACACTGCAAGGCGCGAATGTCTGTAACATGAGGATCACCGACTCTTTTACCTGGACGCAAAGATTTTACAAACTGTAGTCCTTAAAAAATGTGTGGCCTAGATAAGGAACTCTATAAGGTCTTGGATTTTTACGTGCTGTCTTACAAATTTCAACGTAGTCAGCAGGTACGTTAATATTATTAAGACGAAGTTTTCTTTCAATAGTAGAATACATGGAATCTGCCTCCATCTGCGTGTGCCCTTTTTCGAGAAACTTTTGCTCAATTGTAATTTCTGATTCCATACTTAGGTTTAGAAGGGCGGTGGCTAGTGTTGAATTCCTGTTTTGAGACGTACAACCATCACTGAAAATAATAATTTTTTGATCAGGGTGATCTTTCGTGATATGATCTTTGAGAAAACTTTAAATTATTGAGGCATAGTCATTGGCGCTGGTACAGCCAGCGGCCTCATGCCATAGGTAGCAATGGCCATCTTTAGTTTTCATATCGAAAAATGTTAGATTATGTACTATCAGTTTAGTCTTAAAATATTGTGAGATGTTTGTCTTTGGTGACAGTAAAACTGATTGTAAATCCATACATAATACGATATTTTCTGACTCCTTATCTCGATTTTTTGCCTCCCTGGCTTCCCTTTTTTCTTCTTGGTGTTCATTTAAGATATCATCAGGTAAGTTGCCATTTCGGTGTGCCACACATTTATAACACTCGTCTTTCTTGGGACGGTACAGCGAGAGGTTCATTTCTTCAAATACGTGGGAAAATGAAGCAATTGATAATGAACCCATTTGTTTTTCTTGACACCAGCTCGTATAGAATTAAAATTTCCGAATAAAGTTTGTTAGATAATGACCGGCAGTAGTGTGACTCAACTTTTGACAGCTCAGAAAAAAACTGCCTTAAATTTTTATTCATGTCCTTGTAACGCGCTGTATGCATTGTAATTTCATTGGAATTATTGTCGTCAGTTTTTGTTTAACTAGTCGCTTCTTTTCTCAACCAGTCAAGTACCATGTCCTCCTTCAGACAATGTGTGTTTAAAAACATCTGCTTACAAACTCTAATAAGTTGACCTTCCTTCTTCATGTAGTAAAGCATAGACTCCTTTCTTCTTGATGTTGTTGCATTTTGCCTGTT